TGCTGCAGCGGGAATGAGAGTCAAGCCCCATGATTTTGCAACGTGGAAGAGGGAAGGGAAGCACCAAGCCTGCTCACTGCCGCTGGCCAGACTTTAAGGAAAAAATAAAGCGCTGTCATATTAAAGTGTAAGAGCACAAGTCCCACCTGCACAGAGCCAGGGGGGAAGGGGACAGCTCTGGCTGTAAGAGACAGTATTTACATATTTACAACATAAATTAGTGTAGGGAGATGGTAATATTCAAGGAAAGGCTGGCGTGGGACAGGTGGGTCCTTTGCGCAGTCGAGTTGCTAATAAAACAACCTGGAATAGATGCAAAAGGCCCCCTGGGGGCTGCTGAAGCCTTGGCATGGAAAGGACCTGTGGAGAAACTGCTGATCCAGTTACTCTGGTCAAGGTATGGAGGTGTAGAGCTTTCCCATCTCTGTGTCCTAAGCCACTGTCCAGCTCAGCAGGGGCTCAGACTCCATTGGCACTGGCCTTGCTGCTCTGAGATGCTTCCATTTTCATCTAGATTGAAGAGAGAGGTATAGGTTATAGGTAACTCAGACACCACCAGTCTCAGCACTTACTGACATCTGCTAAACATTCAGGTTTCCAAAGCCGTCTTTGACAGCTTGATACATCCTCAACTGAACACAGAGCGGAGGCGCTGGGGCAGATGGCTTGTACTTACTTAATACACCAACAACTTATTAACACAACCACCACATTTCTTCAGTCAGGGTAAAGGACGTGATTTTTCCTCCCCACAAGGAATGTCAACTTCCCTAAACAAGCTTACTGAAATCGGTAGTGTAAGAGTGATGCTGTAGCCGTGACGGTCCAGAAATTATGTGAGGCCAGGATTTCTTAGGGTGATATCTTTTATTGGACCAACTGTATCGCTGGGAGACCTGATAGCACCTGAGCCCACCTGACTTTATCCCAACAAAACAGTTGGTCCAGTAAAAGATTTTGCCCTAAGAAATCCTTGCCCCTGGCTGAAATCCACACTTCTGCAGCTAAAGACCTGAGCATGTGTGGATAGCGAAGAGCTGGGCAAAAGCAGCCTTGCCTGGCTTACAAAAAACACAGCTTAGTTTTGATCTTCACTTCAAAATAATGAATCAAAGCCTGGCCCAAGCTCTCTCAGCTCACCTCTCCTGGATGGGGCTTGACTGATACTTCAGGGACAGGCAACTTCTCTGACGGCTGCAATATCATTTCTTCGTCCTTTGAGAAAAGCATAAAAGGCATTTTAATACTCACAGAGCACCCAGAGGGTGGAGACGACTTGCTGGGACCCTGGCCAAGCCTTTCTACTGTTGCTGTATGGCTGTTCCCTGCCGTACCTGTCTGCAGTTTATCCTTGATACAGTGGGACACTCAGCCCTTCTCTCAGGGGACCGTTCCACAGCAAGTGACGCTGGGAAAGCTACTTTCCCCGTAAGTTCATCCTGCAGCTGCTGCTGGTTTTTGCACCTTGGGCTGCTCTCAGTCACTCAAACTTTGGGCATTTAGCCCTTTCTGCAGCACTGTTCCCAGCAGCATGCAGGGGTTTTGTTCACCTTCTCCCCTGTGTACCAGGCAGCCGTGCCAGCTAAGAATGCTGCAGGACAGCTCTTGCCTTCTTAAGGCCTAGGAAAGGCGCGTACATTTGCTCCTCCAGGAGCACAGCACAATCACCACCTGTGGAGAGTCACTTGCTAACCTTCAATCCCTGTATCACAGGCGCAGAATCCACCAAGACCTCTTGGGGGACCGAGCTCCCTGCAGCAGCCTCACTCCTCTGAGCCTGCAAGGAACAGAAACCTCTGTTTATCGCATGCAGTTGAAGCAGTTCAGCAGATGCTACAATGTGCCCAAGGTGCTGAATTCCAACCTCGATCCACTCCTGCTTCTCTCAGGAGCTATTAGGCACTTCCTGAGAGATGCCAACAGAAGGACTTCCTTGCCTGTCTGGGAGGCGACAGGGCAGATTTGCCCAGTGGACCCCAGTGCAAGTGCACTGAGCACTGTGCAGACACCTTGGAGGAGAGACCCGAGCACCTTCGACCCAACAGCTCAGTGCAAGCTGTGCCTGCTCAGCCCTCCTGCCCATTGGGCCCTTTCCCACCTCTCTGGTGCTTCCTGTGTCCCATGCAGGCACCCTCAGCACAAAGAGCAAAACCCAGAGGTTCTGCAGTGACCGCTCTGCTCAGAGTAGGGAGCAACTCATTCAAGTCATGTGTTCAGGATGGAAGCCTCATAGAAAAGTAAGATGCTTTACAAGTTGCTTAGTTAAGTGGCAACAACTCTTCAGGTGCCAACAGAAGCCAATCCACCCCTCTCCCCATCTCTGCCAAAGTCAGCTGGGAATTAATTAGCTGGAATAGCTGGGGCATCAGGGTGGCAAAGATGCACTCCTGGGACACAGCTAGTCAATACAAGGGGCAAGAGAGGGTGTCCAGTGACTGTACCGCAGGATGTGCTCAGTGTGAATCTAAATCCTTCCCCAGTTGTGAGCACAAGGAACCTGATGGGCAGAAATGTTGGTTTGTTCACTAGAAAGCAGCTCTCAGGCAATCTGGTACTCAGCCACTCACCTCCACCAGTGGCACTGGAACGGGCTTTGGCTTTACGTCAATCAAGTACAAGGCACGAGAAAGTAGGAGCAGGGAGGGGGGAACACTCTCCTTTAGATGAAGATCCAGCCACTGTGTAAGATAGGGAGGGAAGAGGGCAGGAGGGAGAGAGAGTTATTCACAACTGGGTTAAAGAAATACGAAAAACTTAAACATGCCAACTGTTGAAACACCAACTCTCCTAAAGCCATGGGCACACAACACTTAGCCTGGTTTAAGCGCAACTTAAACTTCAAACAGACAAACAGGGCTGTCACACGAGTTTAAAACAGCCTGGAACAGGTAAAAAAGTGTACTTGGAAAATAAGGTACTCCTGAAGGGTTCACAGCACACCAAACCAGTGTTACATGTACACCCGCAGCATTTTGTGACACAGGTCTGGGAAGTACTCCAAGCATCAACATCTTGATCTATGATTTGGATCGGGGAGTGAAAAGTTCGCTGGCCAAGTTTGCGGATGACACCAAGTTAGGGGGTAGTGGGGCCATGCCAGAAGATCAGTTGCCGATACAGGCAGACCTAGAAAGGCTTGAGAGTTGGGCAGACCAGAACCAGGTGACATTTAACACTTCCAAATGTAAGGTGCTCCAGCTGGGGGCAAATAACCCTCAACATACATACAGGCTCGGAGGTAACCGCCTGACCTGCACCACGGGCAAAAGGGACCTAGGTGTAGCGATCAACCATCGCATGAACGGAAGCCGTCAGTGCGATGCGGTGGCCAGCAAGGCAAACAACATGCTGGTATACATCAACCAATGCATCTCGTGTAAAACTAAGAAAGTGATACTCCCGCTGTTCTCAGCAGTGGTGAGACTGCAGCTGGAGTACTGCGTCCAGTTCTGGGTGCTGCACTTCAATAAGGACGTGGAAAAACTTGAGAAGGTCCAGAAAAGAGCCACCCATATGATCAGAAGGTCCAGAAAAGAGCCACCCATATGATCAGAAACTTGCAGGCAAAGCCATACGAGGGAAGGCTGAGGGACCTGGGCCTCTTTAGCCTAAAGAAGAGAAGGTTGAGAGGGGACTTGATAGCGGCTTACTGCTATATCAGAGGAGTGCACCAGGAGCTCGGTGACCAGCTGTTCACTAGGGCACCCCCGGGGAAGACCAGCAGCAATGGGGCTGCTTCAGGCTTAATACCAGGAAAAACTCCTTCCCAGTCAGGGTGTCCAGACAGTGGAATAAACTCCCTCCAGAGGTGGTGCAGTCATGTACCCTGGAGGTTTTCAAGAGGAGACTGGACAGTCACCTCGCAGGGGTCACTTGACCCCAGTTGTCTTCCTGCCTAGAGTGGGGGGGATGGACCCGATGATCTGCAAGGTCCCTTTCAGGCCCTAACCATCTATGAATCCCACGCTGCATCCATCTGTACTCTCACCACTACTACAACTGCTCACTCTGGGAAGAAACCAGGACTCTACTGCCCCCTTTCTAACTATTCTTAGCATTTTTATTTTTATTTTGAAATCACTGCACTGTCTTGCACTACTCAGGCACCAACATGGATCTTTCTAACCACCAGCTGGGTCATCGCTCCCTACCCGACCACAGCCCCTCAGCATCACCCCAAGACCTCGGGAGCCCAAAAGCATCAGGCCAAGAATTCTGCCCCTCACTCCCAACCCACTGCCCCCTGGTCCCAGCGGTGCCTCTCACTCCTGTGAAGGGCTGCGAGTCCGGAGCGAAGGGCACCGGTGGGGCTGGCAGGGACGGGGGGTTGTGGGTCAGGTGCCAGGGGCATGGGCAGGGCCGGGTCTTCCGGGCAAAAGCGAGGGGCACCGGCGCTGTTACTGGGGTTGAGGGGCTGTGGGTCGGGCATGAGAGACACTGACAGGGCTGGCAGGAATTGAGGGGCTGTAGGTTGGGAGTGAGGGGCACCAGCAGGACCGGAGCCTGCGGGTTGAGAGTGAGGGGCACTGGCGGGGTTGGGGGCTGAGGGTCAGAAGTGAGAGGCACTGGTGGGGCTGGTGAGGCTGAGGGCTGTGGGTTGGGAGTGAGAGGCACTGGTGGGGCCAGGGGGATGTGGGTCAGGAGAGAGAGGGCACCAATGGAATTAGGGACTGAAGGTCAGGAGTGAGAGGCACTGGTGAGGCTGAGGGCTGCCGCCAGTTGGGAGTGAGGGGCACCGGCAGGGCAGGGGCTGCCAGTCGGGGGTTCGGGGCACCGGTGGGGCTGGCAGGGATGAGGGGTTGGGAATGAGGGGCACCAGCGGGGCTGGCGGGACTGAGGGCTGCAGGTCAGGAGTGAGGGGCACCAGCAGGAACAGGGGCTGCAGGTCGAGAGAGGGGCACCAGTGGGTCCTGAGGCTGCAGGTCAGGAGTGAGGGCACCGGTGGGGCTGGTGGGACTAAGGGTTGCTGGTCGGGGAGAGGGGCACCGGCAGGGGGGCAGGGGCTGGGGGCTGCAGGTTGGGAGTGAGGGGCACTGGCTGGTCTGGGTGTTGTGGATCAGGAGTGAGGGGCACCTGTAGGGCTGGCAGGAATGAGGGGCTGCAGCTCAGGAGTGAGGGACCTCTGTGGGGCTGGTGGGGATTAGGGTTTGTGGGTCAGGAGAGAGGAGCACCGGCGGAGCCAGGGACTGCAGTTCGGGAGTGAGGGGCACTGGCAGAGCTGACAGGGACGGTGGGCTGTGAGGTGACCACCAGTATCTGGGGGAACGTTTGTTCACCAGAGCGCCCCAAGGGATGACGACTAGGTCGAATGGTCATAAACTACGACAAGACCGTTTCAGGCTGGACATAAGGAAGAATTTCTTTACTGTCCGAGCCCCCAAGGTCTGGAACAGCCTGCCACCGGAGGTGGTTCAAGCACCTACATTGAACACCTTCAAGAGCAAACTGGATGCTTATCTTGCTGGGATCCTATGACCCCAGCTGACTTCCTGCCCTTTGGGTAGGGGGCTGGACTCGATGATCTTCCGAGGTCCCTTCCAGCCCTAATGTCTACGAAATCTATGAGTTGGTGGGGCTGTGGATCAAGAGTGAGGGGCACCAGCGGAGCTGGTGGGTACAGTAGGTCTGGAGCAAGGGGCTCTGGAGGGGTCAGGGGCTGCAGGTTGGGATTGAGGGGCACCAGCAGTGCCAGGGGCTGTGGGTCAGGAGTTAGGGGCACTGGCAGAGACAGGGACTGTTGGAAAATCCAAGTTTTTCTGTGTTTTTCCATGGCAAACCTGGATCTCTGCTTATCAGTCACTGTGCCTCTTTAGTCTGGACCATATCATAAGTTGAACAGTTCTCATTCTCAGCTTTAGACATATCAGCTTGGATGGGTACAGGAGCTGCAGAAGTTCTCAGGGGGAGGCCCACCATCCACAAGGCCAACTTACTTAAAGGCTGACTGCCCCAACATGGTTCCTCCACATAGATACAAATTACATGTTCAGTGTGAGAGATATATGAATGTGTTCAATCTGCATGTGTGAATCTTAAGTTACTTCCTGTTGAATCTGCTAATGCCAATGCATGAATAGTTTTACTTTGTTTACAATATGTTCTGATCCTCCCAGTCTGGCAGCACTCTTCCCCACACTTGCGGCCTGAGTTATTAATTTGTGAATGCCTTGGACAAATATAAAACCATGCTCCGGGACTCTACATCTTCATCAGCGACTTGGATGAGGGGGTAAAAAGCACCCTGTTCAAATTCGCAGACGACACTAAGATGTGGGGGGATGTGGGTGCACTAGAAGGGAGGAATAGGCTGCAATCAGACCTAGACAGGTTACAGGGGTGGGTGGATGAGAACAGGATGGATTTCAACACTGACAAGTGCAAGGTGCTGCACCTGGGGAGGAAGAACCAGCAGCAGACCTGCAGGCTGGGGAACTCCCTTCTCATCAGCGCAGAGGCAGAAAAGGATCTTGGAGTCATTATTGATGACAAAATGAACATGGGCCGACAGTGTGGGGACGCGGTCAGGAAGGCCAACTGCACCTTGTCATGCATCTACAGATGCATCTCAAGCAGGTCCAAGGAGGTGATCCTCCCCCTCTATGCGGCACTGGTCAGGCCACAGTTGGAGTACTGCATCCAGGTCTGGGCGCCGCACTTCAGGAGGGATGTGGACAACATGGAGAGGGTCCAGAGGAGGGCCACTCGCATGGTCAGGGGGCAGCAGGGCAGGCCCTACAAGGAGAGGCTACAGGACCTGAACCTGTTCAGCCTCTGCAAGAGAAGGCTGAGGGGGGGATCTAGTGGCCATTTACAAACTAGTCAGGGGGGACCAGTAGGCATTGGGTGAGTCCCTGTTCCCCCGAGCGCTACCAGGAGTGACAAGAAATAACAGTCACAAGCTGGCAGAGGATAGATTTAGACTAGACATCAGGAAGTGCTACTTCACAGTCAAGGTGGCTAGGATCTGGATCCAACTTCCAAGCGAAGTGGTGCTGGCTCCTACACTGAGGGTCTTTAAGAGGAGGCTGGATGAACACCATGCTGGGGTCATTTGACCCTAATACTCTTTCCTGCCATGGCAGGGGGTTGGACTTGATGATCTGCTCAGGTCCCTTCCGACCCTACCTACTATGAAACTACGAAACTATGGACTGTAGCAGACGTGACTACTTGCCTGTCTGAGTTGTTCTTTGAGCTGTTCCTCTGAGAGACCCAACGACCTCATTCCTCTGGCCCTACATGCACTCTGCAGTTCAGACACACTTAGGCCATTAACGCCTTCCTTGGCGATCATCTGAAAGGAAAGGGGACAGTCATATTCAGGCTAGGGGAAGCCAAACCCCTAGTCTGCTTTCTGAAACTGGAGCCAAGGAGGTGCCGGCTTGGATCAAGGGGAGACAAGAACAAACAAGCAATTCCCAGCAGTACAGACAGGAAAGGTCACCCTGAAATTCAGCACATAAAATCAACTCTCCTTAAATGCATGTCAGGCAAGAGCATAACTTGCTTAACTGCAGAACACAACGCCAATCCTAATTTTTGCCTATTGCTGGTCTTATAACAAGCAGTGGCCATTTGCATATTAGTTCAGCCCCACTGTTTACTTTCTAATCTAACTGGACTCCACTGAACTGCATAATTGGTGTTACACAAGCAGCTGTCAAAGGGCAGCTAATCACAAGCCCTTCTAGACAGCTTTGGGGCTGCCAGCAGAAGCCTTGCAACAGAGCAGAGCCAGGAGGTTTCAGGGCTGCCAATACAATGCTGTATGCTTAGGAACATTGCTTATATTTGGATAAGTGCATGGTCTTTTTTCAGCCCTGAGGTTATGCACTGTAGCCCACTGTCTACTGTCTCTACCCAAACACAGCTAAAATAAATACACTTTGGGCCTCAGAAGCATCTTCACTTGCGTACCTCCGTTAAGTCAGATCCACAAACACTTTTAGGGTTGTGTCCAAGAAGGCCCTGGAGATTGAGCCACACTGTGCTTCCCTAAAGCTTTTTTAGGAGAATCCCACAGCTATCAACACTATGCTCATCCCACTTCTGTCATATAGGCAGGGACATACCTATTACACTAGACTGGCAAGCTGCTATGCAGAGAGGGATGGAATCAAAAATGAGCTCATCAGGAGATTAGTGTCTGTGCTGTTTCACTCTAGACTCTTACCTTATCATCTGCTTTTATAGTCCTCAGCTGCATCAGAAGCTGGAAGCGGAGTAGGTTATTGGTGCCAATGGGTTGCAGTTCAAGCAGTTTGCAGAGGACTACCAACTGGGGCCGTTCCAAATGCTCAAGGGTCAGCTCATCCTCAAAAAGCTTGGAGAAGCGCACAATCTCCTGAGTACTGGGCTGGTGGCCAGTATGACGAACCTGTGCAGGGCAAAAGCATTAGGTAAGAACGGACTGTGGAAACCAGCAGCAGAGCCAAATAGAGAATGCAGAAGTCCCGAATCCAGGCCCCACACTCCCTCCCAATACATTTCATATTGACATTTTTTTCTTGCTGGACACCACTAAACTGATATGGTTACCAGTCAAGAGAGAAAACACAGAAGGGGCTTTGAGTGGCTGCCTAAAAGCATCACTCTGTAAAAGGTTTTCTGCTGATTACAACTACCATTAAGATACGAAAAAACAAGGATAATCTGGAGACCTGGGTTTAAAAGGTTGCCCTGCCTTGCCAGTCGGTTAGCCACCAGTGGGGAGAAGGTTAATCAGTAACCTCTTCCTCATGTATTCATGCCTGACAGCACAGTTCAGGTACTCCTGGTACAAGTTCCAACAACCGCACAACGGCTGCATCTCTCCTCCTCTCAGCTAGACAGGAACAAGAGTCTCTCTCCGGTTAGTGTTTAATTAAAAAAAGTCTCTCTCCACCCAGTGAAACCCAAATTCAGCAAAGTGCAAGCTCTGATCCTGGACTCGGCAGATCCAGAGAAGTTACTTAGAGGGGCTTAACAACAGCACTGCACTATATTACAACCTGCACAGAAACTAATACCTCTCATGTGAGAAGTGGTGGAAAGAAACTGGGTCTGTTGATCTACTGTAGTTAAAAAGGTTACTTTGCAGATCCTCCGCAGTCTTTTTTGTATAGAAATGCCTCCCTCATCTCCAGAAATCAGAGCCTTTAGAAGGTTTTGGCATATGCCCACATGGCCACCCTGTCCACCCAGTCCCACCTACTGTCCCACTTCTGTACCTGCTGTACATAGGAGGAGAACTGTTTGGTGGCCTCTCCCGTGTCTGCTTTGTTCCTTCTTGCCATCTCTGCAATGGTCTCCTGCAGGAATTTTGCCAGCTCTAACTTTGCGCTTAATTTCTTCCTCTGTTTTTCTTCCTTCATGTGGGAAACAAAAAAGTTAGAGGCTCAGCTTGACTGGGATGGCGGGGTGGGGAACTACCCCAACTTTCTCCCTTATTAATGAAACTATGCGATTCCCCTAAAGGAAACATGCCCCCTCCTCTTGCTACAGATGTCAGGGTTCTCTGGGCTGTTTTTTTTTCTTTGTTGCCTTCTTCAGAAGTATTGGCTGTTGGCTGCAGCCCAGGGATTGTGACTGGAGTGTGCATATGCTCCTGCTGGGCCTAAAATCTGGAGGTTGCCCCCGTACTCAGAATCAGGCTGATTGCTACAAATAGAGGTTAGGAAAGAATTTTAGCCCATGGTCAGACTGTAGGAGTTTTTTTTCCTACAGGGGCCCCTGTAGCATGGCCCCCTTCCATGGATCTCAGGGGTCTTTGAGCAACTTTTTAGTTGTGTGACAGGGTCAATTGTGTAGGTTTAGGAACAGGGTAGACAAGGATTTGTATGGGACGATTAGGAGGCAGAAGCCTCAATTGGATGGATCCTGCCTTGAGCAGGAGGCTGAGCTAGACAATCTTTGGAGGTCCCTTCCAGCCCCACTTATTTATGAGTCTATGAATTACCGCAGGAGGGAAAAAATCTGAAGGCAGACCCTTTTCCATCCTCTCCCGACCCCCATTACTGTTGCTGACTAGTTTTGGCACTTTGGTTTGTATAACTGAAGTACACAGGGCAATTTCACCTTCGCTTACCAGACTGAATACTACAAACAGGATATATGTGCACTCTTTCACAAAATCATAACGAATGTTTGAAATCAACCTAATTATAAACTCTAGCCCAGGACAACATGGTAATTACTAATCCCACGTTCTTACAGTTTTAATATTAATTATTCCTATTGCAGAAAACTGTTATGACCAAAATAACTTTCTTTTGCATGTAACAATCACTTAAACACACATGATTTGAGGTTAACTTTTATCAGATACCTGTAACTCGATTAAAGAGTCATTAGTATTGGCTTGATCATGGTCCTAGGAAACAAAACAGCACAGGAAGGCAACAATCCGCACATAAGCCAACAGGTGCTGAGATTTCGGCAAACCTCCGAAATTACAGCAAGTGAAACCCTCTTTTGGCTGCCACTCTACCTTACTGATTGCTGGGGAATATTTTTTAAGGTAAAAGAATATATTTAATATCCAGTATGGAGGAGTAAGGAAAGAGATGAAATGTGTGGAACAGCTATACTCGTGACATAATGCTTACTTTGTTCCAGGAGCAACGAGGCTCCTCTGTGCATTAGGTCCTACCTGATCAATAGCAGACTGTTGTTCTGCATCTGAATACCCAAGTACAAGCACTTGGCCTAGTCAGCAGGGGTAAGACAGATTTACAGCATTGGATGCTAAGCAACAGTTGTCCAGGGGACTGCAAACAGGTTTTGATTAGCTAGTAACAGGTGTTAACAGGAAATAAGTGACCCATGTTTTAAGGGAAAGGCACAAGCCAATAGTGGGCAGAAAATACTCCAGCTCTGTGTTATTGATAAGTGCTAGGAAACCGACATGCACCCCTTCTCACCAGGCAGCACTAGCCTTCTTGGCTTCAGGGAGCTTTGGCTAAAGAGCAAAGGTGGAGCTATGGAGCATCCCCATTAAGGTCAGTGGAAGCTGTGTGTTATGAGAACAGGATTTGGTCCAAGACAATTTCCTCTGGGCTCTGTCACTGCTGCTTTCAAGTGTAAAGCCTAAGTGCATTTAACTCATGGCTTTTTTCTCCTAGAACTGTATTTAGGATCTACCCACTCTTAGCAGGTATAGAGACCCTAATTAAAAGGATCCTATGCAAACTCTCAGTTCCCAGTGGTTAGCTACCAAGGACAATCCAAGTCTGCATATTTCAGGCTTCATCCAAGTGACATATAATCTGGGAGGGGGAGAAGCCTACACAGTCCCAAAATACCAAGGGATGAAGAAAAGTAACTGGTTAGGGACACACCACCCCCCCGGCTAGGGATGACCCATCAATTGTCTTGACTACTCCATTTGTCATTATGTTATCAAGTAACCTTCTGTATATCTGGGCATCCTAGGCACTGGCATGACCCTGATGACCTCAGGGTCAGAGTACATCATTCATGGATTTTACCCTCACAAATTTTTTTTTTTTAATTTTTTTTTTTTTTTTTTTTTTAAGGCAAATACAAAAGACAGAGGGAGAAAAACCCAGGCACATGTTCGAATAAGTGACTTGCCAAAGTTCACTGAAATTTGAGCGAGCCATAGAGCTGAGCACCTTTTGACAACCCTGTGCCCCAGAAGCAGCTTTCTGTGCTTACTTAGCTAGCTCTTCCCTGGCAACAGTAAACAAGTTGGATCATGTTTACTGATATGCTAATAAGCTTCTGGAGTCATCTCCTACTCTCTTGCTTCATTGAGCCCTGGTTATCAAAGCATTATTAAAGGAGTATTATCTACCCTAATCAAAATGGGATCAGAGGAGGACAAAGTTGAGGTATCGTGGGTTAGGAAACACGGAGGTCGGGGGGAAAGGGACTTGGTGGTATGGGTCTGCTACAGACCACCACACCAAGAGGAAGAGCTAGACTTGGAATTATTGTGGCAGCTCTCAGAGGCCGTATGGCCTAGGGACATGGTTGTCATGGGGGACCTAAACTACCCTGACACCTGCTGGGAGGAGCAGTCAGCCAAATTCAGCCATTGATGTAGGTCCTTAACCTGCATACAGGACCATCACCTAACGTAGGAGGTATACAGTCCCACTAGGGGCAATGCCTTACTGGACTTGGTGTTGGCTACAGGAGATGACCTGGTAGGGGAGCTGCAGATTCGTGGTCACTGTGGCAGGAGCAACGTCAGGGTCGCTGTGCTCTACCCTGTTGCCTCCTTTACTGTGCCAAGCTTCGGACTTGCACCCTCCTATTCTCACCAGCCACGACTTTGATTGTATACGAGTTCTTTATAGGGAGGCTACCTTTCTTTCGCTTGGCTACAGTTCTCCTGCTTCTAGTGTTCTGCGTACCCAAGCCCTATGGGCTATGCACGTACAACACTGTCTTGGCCTACACCCCTCCGGCGCTCAGGCCCTTCTCCGCAATGCTGCCCCTCCCACAGGGCCCTTCTCCGGAGCTGGGGTCTGTACACCCCGAACTCTGTGCCCTCACTGGGGCTGGGGTCCTCACTCTACCGTGAGTCCCCTATGAGGCCTCCTCCATCCCCTTATAGCCTCACCCAAACCACCGGTGTAATCAATAGCAAATACAAACAACTTAAACACAAGCCTCTTGGCTATAACGTAAACATAAGCCACCTGGCTATAATAATGCTCAGGTCTACCGGGTTCTCTCTCCTACCGCGGTGACCAATTCTGCTCTGGCATTCAGGTTTTTCCTCGCTTTTAGCAGGGAGCTCCTTCCTCCTTAGCTGCTGGTCGGGGGAACTCCTGCCTGGCCTCCTGCCTGTGGTTTATATAGGAGCCAGGCCCTGCCGCTTCTTGTCAGCTGGCTAGGCACATGCGGATCATTAGCTCCCTCTAGCTGCCTCAGCAACCCTGCACCTGAGGAGTTTTCCTGGCTCTCTCAGTAGCAGGCACCTTAGTGCCCTGCTACAGTCACCTTGGGGACAGTGACCATCAGTCAATTGAATTCACCATGCAGTGTAGGGTGGGAAAGATATCTAGAAGGGTTGAAGTGCTTGACTTTAAGAAGGCTAACTTCAGTGGGCTCAGGAGCTTAGTCAATGGTGCACTGCAGCATAGGAGTATTGGCGAGATGGGAGTCCAGGAAGGGTGGTCGTTCCTAAAGGAAACAAACCTTCGGGTGCAGAGGGAAATGATCCCATTGCACGGGAAAACGGGGAAAGGGGCCAGAAAACCTCCATGGCTAAACAGGGGAAGGAGGAGCCGAGTAATTATAGGCCAGTTAGTCTTATCTTTATCCTTGGAAAAGTCTTTGAAAAAATTATTAAGGATCATATTTGCGTGAGTCCAGCAGGAAAAATAATGCAGCAGGGCAACCAGCATGAATTCACAGCAGGTAGATCATGCTCAACTAATCTGGTTTCTTTTTATGACCAGGTCCCAAAACACTTAGACGCAGTAGTAGCAGTGGATGCCGCTTTCTTGGATTTTAGGAAGGCCTTTGATATGGTATCTCATCCTATTTTCATAAATAAAGAGGCTGTAACTTAGATGATTACACAGTCCGGTGGGTGGCAAATTGGATTAGGGGTCGCACCCAGAGAGTGGTAGTGGATACATTGGTATTGACCTGGAGGGATGTGGGTAGTGAGGTCCCGCAGGGCTCGGTCCTTGGACCTGTACTCTTCAATGTCTTCATCAGTGTCTTGGATGTGGATCTGAAGTGTACTCTGTCCAAGTTTGCGGATGATACTAAATTGTGGGGGGAAGCTAACACACCAGAGGGTAGGAAACAATTGCAGGCAGACCTGGACATGTTGGAAAAGTATGCAGAACACAACAGGATACAGTACAACAAGGACAAGTACAAAGTGCTGTACCTAAGGCATAAAAATATCCAGCACACCTACTGGCTGGGAAATAACCCTCTCAGCAGCACAGAAGCGGAAAGGGTCTTGGAGTCGTCATGGACTCAGCAGATGCATGACAAATAGAGCCAAGGAGGTGATACTTCCCCTCTATACAGCATTGGTCAGACCGCTGTTGGAGTACTGCATCCAGTTTTGGGCGCCATAGTTTAAGAAGGATGTGGACAACCTCAAGAGGGTCTGAAGGAGGGCCACTCATATAGTTAAGCGTTTGCAGGCCAAGTCCTATGAGAAGTGACTAAGAGACCTGGATCTCTTCAGTCTCCATAAGAGATGGTTGAGAGGTTATCTTGTGGCCACCTACAAATTCATTAGTGGGGCACAGCAAGGAACCAGAGATGCTCTGTTCACCAGGGTGCCTCTTGGGGAAACAAGGAACAATGGTCACAAACTGAGAGAGAGCAGATTTAGACTGGACATCAGGACGAACTTCTTCATGGTAAGGGTGGCCAGAACTTGGAATGGGCTTCCAAGGGAAGTGGTGCTCTCCCCTACCTGGGGGTCTTTAAGAGAAGGCTGGACAGTCAGCAAGATGTGATCATCTGACCCCAGCACTCTTTTCTGCCTAGGGCAGGGGGTCAGACTTGATGATCTGTTGAGGTCCCCTCTGACCCAAGCATCTATGAATCTATTAATTGTTCTGCTCTCAACCAGCATGGCCAGCAAGCTCACAAACCTTTTTAGATTGTGTCTCAAATGTTGATGGCAGCATTTCTGGGAAGACTTTCAGGAATACAGGTAACAGGAACTCCATGAAGGGAACAATGATGAAGACCAAAAAGGGGACCAACCGGAAGAGATCAGCACAGGTTCTCAGCAGCTGCAGAAGGAACAGCAGGGCAGGGATTATTTTTCAGTCTGACGCATATGATTTTGCCACAGTTACACACAGGCTTTGACAACCTGAATGAGATGCATGGCATTATCAAGATGGCCTTTCTGCGCGTAAATGACAATATGTGACACTTGTGAAGCACTGCAATAACAATGCCTCCTTGTCACTCTCATATAAAAGCCAACTGGCCCAGAGAGACCAAACACTCCTCTCATTCTGGAGATGCTCTCCCAGCACAACACTGGGGTGCCCTGACAGAGCACAGGGGACCTGTTTTGCCACTGTTTGTGCTTTACCACTTATGAAGAAGCACATAGGATTTCAGCCTCGAAGGTGGAGAAGCTGTCACCTGTTAACATGTGCTACCTTCCCCAGGCAGTTGTAAGTAGATGCCCACATTTTACCTCTCTTGAAACAGTATCTGGTTATCGAATAGATTTGATTTCTTTAGTGGCATCAGGCGTTTGGCCATATCAGTTTAGCAATTTGACACCAACATGTCCATTGAAGTCACACTCACCCTTCGCCTCTCTCTCCTAGTGAGAACCTGCCCATGTAGCAGTCTCCATACCATCCTGGCAGCAACTTTTGTATCAATCCAAAGCAAGTGGAATCCATTGTAATAGTGTTTCAGCTCCTCCATAATTCTTTGGCTCATGGATTTTTTCCCCGCAGCAGTCTCTATGCCCTTGTCAGATACAGTTTTAGCATGCTCAACGCTCTGGTTTGCAGTCCGTTGGTTATACTGAGGTTTCTCTTGAAGTTCTCGATGCCAGTAAGCAGATGTGTGAAATGTCTGCACTGCATTAGTTCGTAACTGAGGTAGTCCAGTGCACTGGTAGGTGCAGTAAAGGAACTGCTGGCTTTCAGAGTCTTTAATACAAGTTCGGTTTAAATGAGACTCCATTAGTTGGACAAATGCCACAGAGGGAGAATGCAGAAAACAGCTGGAGTGCACAAGAAGATGAGGACCTCTGAAAGGAGAGAGATAAGGTCAGGCACAGGTCATTCTCTGTTGTGGCCTGATTATCAGATTTGATACAAGCAAATCAATATCCTTGGTTCCAAATTTACAGTAGAGAATCTGCCCAAAGATTGAGTCTCTGGGATAACATTTTTGCTGGTGAACAAAGAACTTCAGGAGACCTGTGCAGCGCAGTCGATACAGCAACTGGCTGTGGGCTGGAAGAACCTAGGTTCAATCCCAATTCCACTTGTAGTTTCCACTCCCAGTGTGGCCCTAAGGCCCACCCAACCTCCTATCCGGTCGGCACCAAAAACAACCTGGGGATAAAGGTAGCCAAAGCGTGGTGCTGACCCAACACCACCACTTTCTTGTGCTGAGGTTAAAAAAAAAACACTGGAGGCATGCCACCATGGCATGTGAACAGGACACCTTTTTTTTTACCTTTATCAAGCACTTTTTTTTTTTGGTTTTTGTTTGTTTGTTTTTTAGGTACTGGACAAATTTCCATGCTGTGCTGGCTGGTTATCACTTTTTTTTTCCAAATGCAAAACGCAGCAGTTCGGCCCACTTCTTTGAAGCCACCATTCTAATAAATTACCTTAACATACAGTTCAGCCTATAATAGCCCAAGGAGATAAAATAAATCATAGAAAAGTAGGGCTTGAAGGGACTTCAGGAGGTCAACTAGTGATTCGAGTCCAACCCTCTGCTCAAGGCAGGATCAGCCCTATCAAAGCTATTCTAGACAATCCAACCTATTCTTAATACTTCACTGACAACCATCTCACTCAACTACCAGACACAATGCCCCAAACATCAAGACTGTCTTAACTCACCAGAGGTAAAGCAGAGGGACAAGGGTACTGTCCGTGTCCTGCCACTGCAAGGACAGGAAGTAGTTGTTAACAGACACTTGAGAGATCAAGTAAGAGGACCATGCCCCACCCTGCAGAGGAAAGCAACTTCCCACCCCAGGCCATGCCCGTCTGACCATGGGGTAAAATTTCTTCCTGATCCCAAATGTGGGGGATCCACTCATCTTCATCATGTCACCTCAGCCAAGTCAAGGAAGAATCACAGAATCATAGAACATGAGGGTGGGGAGGGACCTCAGGAGGTCACATCTAGTCCAACTCCCTGCTCAAAGCGGGACCAGCCCCAACTACATTATCCCAGCTAGGTCTTAAAAACCTCCAAGGACAGAGGTGCCACCACCTCTCTGGGTAACCCATTCCAGTGCTTCACCCTCCTCCTAGTGAGAAAGTTTTTCCTAATATCGAATCTCAACTTCCCTTGCTGCAACTTGAGCATATTATTGCTCCTTGTTCTGTCATCTGTCAAAAGACAGAACCAAGTCAGGAAAGGTTTTTACACCAGGAGTTTGATGTCAGCAACACAGTGTATTGTTTTAACAAGTGCACTGGCAGAAACCCTTTGGCTGACATCTCTGTCTCATGGGGACAATGAGCCAGGCACAAAAATAGTTTCAGTGCCTGGAAGAAATAGACGCTGAACTCTCACCTGGGATTAAACATCTGCTCCCACCTCGCGTCCCTTCAGTTAGGACAAGCCCACTTTGCCTGAAAAGTGAAGTTGGGTCTGCTTCCTAGCATGGGCCAGCACTAATCACAAGGAAAATGGTGACAGTCTCAGTGACAGCAGTTCTTTCAAGCTGCCGGGCTTGATTCTTACTCAGTGCACACACACCGCAGTCACAGCTATGGGGCGAGGCAGGCTGCCGCCCACAAAAGCTCAGGCCTCTCTGAACGAGTCAGCCCGTGCGGGGCCACCCAGCTCTCCAGGCCCCCCACTCGGGGCTAACGCAGCGACCGCCCCCTCGGCCTGTCACTCAGGAGGCAGCAAGCGGGGTTTGGCGTCCGGGGACATGTCTTACCTGGCCCTGGCCCCAGCCCAGAGGAGGCTGCAGCCATGCGCAGCCATGCTGCCCAGGGCCGCCGTCCTGTGAGAGAGGAAAGGCAGCGTTAGGTTAAGGGCCAGCTCCCACGGGCGCAGGGCCGACCCTTGTCCACGCAGCCCCCCAGCCCGGGACAACCCCGAACCCTCCCGCTCCTGCCGGGCCCAAGAGACCCCCTCCCCCACCCCCAGGCAGGGGCAGAGCCCATGCAGCCATGCGCAGCCATGCTGCCCAGGGCCGCCGTCCTGTGAGAGAGGAAAGGCAGCGTTAGGTTAAGGGCCAGCTCCCACGGGCGCAGGGCCGACCCTTGTCCACGCAGCCCCCCAGCCCGGGACAACCCCGAACCCTCCCGCTCCTGCCGGGCCCAAGAGACCCCCTCCCCCACCCCCAGGCAGGGGCAGAGCCCAGGAGTGCAGGCCCCTCCCCCACCCCTTCCAGGAGCAGAGCCCAGGGGTGCGGGCCCCAGCCCCGCCCCAAGGCAGAGGGAGAGCCCAGGGGTGCAGCCCCCCCGGCAGGAGTCCCAGCCCCGCACCACTCACCGCCCGGCTTGGCTGTACGGCTTCCGCCTCAGCCCCCTTCCCATCGCCCCCCACCCCGCAACCGCTCTACCCCAGTGCGCTGCTCTCTATGGTTCCCTCTCGTCACCCCACGGGGAGACCCCGCCCCTTCCCCGCTAGCCAATGGGAGCTCCGAGTCCCGGAGCACGGCCGGGCTGTCAGGCGCCAGCCAATGGGAGCCAAGGGGGCGGGGCGACGGAATGACCTTATGTAGCCCCTGGGCGGGGCGCCCCGTTTGGTGAGGGCGGGGGTTGCTGAGCGAGCTCTGCTACGTCACGGAGCGGGAGGTGTGACATCAGGCACAGGGCTGTGACGCAAAGGCGTTGGGCCCAGTGCTGCCCACTCCACGCTTAGGGGAAGTGACAGCAGGGCTCCTCGTCCCTGCTCTGGGCCTACACCTGCTGCCATCCCCTGCCTGGGCCCGTCACTCACCCCTGCATCCTGTGGTTTCCCCCCCCCCCCCAGCTCCCCAGAGCCCAGCACAGGCCTGGGGGGTGTCCCTGTGCTGGCCTAGAGAGACAGGGATGGGGCCTAGGCAAATGTGGGCAGCTGCGTGCCCGCATTTGCCTAGGCCCGGTTTCTGTCTCTCTCCCAGCGAGCACCAGGAAACTCCACAGTGAAAAAGGCTGGGTTGAACTGCGTGCAAGACAGCCCTCCAGACCGAACTGCAGCGACAGGCCGGAAAACATTGCATTTCATTTTCTTCTCCTCCGCTTTACTGCTATGATTAGTAGTAATCACCACAATAATAGGAACGGTAATCTTGCCAAGAGGCGCTTGCAGGCTCGGGTGAAGGCGAGGCCCTGGTGGGAAGTGACCGCTCCATTCTGCGCTTGCCGTGGCATGGTGCTTCCAACTTCCTTGCTGTCAGGGTGAGAAGCCGTGTGAAGCAAAGCGGGACTGCCGCTCTGTGTCAAATGAAACATGACCTCGTTTGCTGACAGACGTGAAATGGTAATCTGTGGTCCAGCGGTGCACTTGTTAGTGTTTAACAAAGCACCCCAAGCACTCTGTGGTTTCTTTCAGTTCAATGGAAACCTGCGGTGCATTTATTTGTCAGGTCTATGTTTAAATGGGTGCACCGAGTATCTCTGTGTAGCACATCTAAACGATATGGTGGGAGGATGTGAGAAGATAGTCTGTATCAAAATATATCCTTTTCTTCTGGGTTTACCTCTGCAGAGTGGGTTTGTATGGAATCAGGAATCGCAGGGAATTGCAGAGCCCTGCCTTGCTCGTCACCTGGAAATGCTTCGACAAATTTTAGCAGATGACAGAAGTAGGGAGGCTGCTGCTCGCTCTGAATCATTTCTGCGTTTCTGAGAATGATGTGGGTAAATATTCGATCACAATCCAAATTGCAAAGTGGCTTTCATCCGTCAGTGGTGGCCTTAGGGTTGTTGGGGCCCTGGGCAAGAGAGTCATTCGGGCTTAATTTTGATGACTTACAAGTTTCGCTCGCCAGCCATGGTTTTGAGGATCCACACTTACTATTCTATATACCATGGTATACAGTTTTGAGTAACCACGGTTTTCCATGGCCACGCATCAGCCTGCCACCTGCCATTTTTCCCATAAGCCTTTTGTCTTGCCAACCACGAGAACTTTCAGGAACCTAACCCCAGCGGTTGGTGAAGGAAACCTGTATAAGCAAGCCAGACATTTTCGATTTCAATTTCATTTTGCCTTACCCACAAAACTGCAATGAAAGTATCTTAATACAATATAGATAATACAAATATTCAGTGTAATTAGTTTTTATTTTTATCAAGTGTGGGGCCCCAGGCAGTCTCCTGGTTTGCCCTCCCCTAAGGCCGCTACTGCATCCATAAGGCAGACCTACCAGTAACTACCCAAAGAGAGGAACTATATTTAAAAAAAAAAAAGTAGTGCACAAGAGGAAGTAAGCAAGTATTATAGCTCAGCCACTAGAGGTCTCTTCATGCCTGCATTTTTTCTCTGGATTAGTACACAGACATTCTTGTGCCAGATCTCTAGACACCTTAAATTACAACAATATTAATCCAGGTCTTTCTCTTCTCCCCACAAAACTATTGAGGTTAATGTACGTGCTTTAATATTAAAACCTGGTGCAATAAAGACTATAGCAATTAAGCACTCTTCCCGTTTCACAGTGGGGAACAGTTTTCCTAGGAGATTATCTGATGAATTAATCTATAGTAACCGTTGTACAACACATTAAAATAATAGGAAATGAGGTGAGCAGCCAAATGTAAGGAATCCTGCTCTCTGAAGTACTCAAGGAAATATCCCTTGTTTACTGTACTGGAATGGAGAATTTCTATCCATTACACTCCAAAGCTTCAGAGAAGCTGAAAACCACTATCATGTCTTGTTTGGATGTGATCTTGGTGTCCAAACTGCTCTCATTTGGATGTGGAGTTGGTCAAAGCTGTTCATAACTCTCTTGGAGACTGATCTAAAACTCACTGGAGTTTACAGGAGTTTTCTATTGATTTAAAGGGACTTCAGATTAGCCCTGAGAGCACAAATTGGACCTACGTACCTATAAGTGTTATTGGTTACAACTGTCAGGCCAGTTCTAAAAAACAAACACAGCATTTGATTTAAAGGTCCTTCAGTCCGAGAAACACAGCAGAATGACTTTGCTTGACTGCACAGCAGTGCCTTACCCACAATTTTCAGGTCCTTCCATGGGGTTGACTGGAAAGCCCTTCTCAGTCCAGTAAACAGCAGCACTGCAAGAAGTACAGGAGTCAAATATTAGGTCAGCAGTGTCAACCTCAGACAATTAACAATATCATAAGTGTTTCCAGATAATCATGAGATTTAAAAAACATGTTGGATTAATTGCTTTCTGTTTTCAGCCTTTTAGTGTACAGCTGGATGATGTTTCCAATCTTTCCTTTGGAAAATGAATAAAATCAGATGCTTCTTCTTTTTGCATTGGTTTGTTTTTTAGAATCATAGATTCAGAGAGTCATAGCCAATGAGGGTTGAAGGGACCTCAGGAGCTCACATCTAGTCCAACTCCCTGCTCAAAGCAGGACCAGCCCACAGCTACATCATTCCACCTAAGGCTTTGTCTAGTTGGGTCTCAAAAACCTCCAAGGATGGAGATGTCACAACCTCTCTGGGTAACCCGTTCCAGTGCTTTATTACCCTTCTAGTGAGAGAGTTTTTGCCTAATATCTACCCTCAACTTCCCTCCATTGCACCTTGTTCTGTCATCTGCCACCACTGAGAACAGTCCAGCTGCATCCTCTTTGCCCCCCACCCTTCAGGCAGTTGAAGGCTGCTATTGAATCACCCCCTCAGTCTTCTCTTCTCCAGATTAAATAAGACCAGTTCCCTCAGTCTCTCCTCATAAGTCATGTCCCCCAGCCCCTGAACCATTTGCATTGCCCTCTGCTGGACTTTCTCCAATTTGTCCACATCCTTTTTGTAGTGGGGAGCCCAAAATTGGACACAGTACTGCAGATGTGGCCTCACCAGTGCCGAATAGAGGGAAATAATCACTTCTCTCGATCTGCTGGCAACGCTCCTACCAATCCTTTTTTTTTTTTTTTTGATCTGGCAACACTTCTACTCATAGAAGATGCACTTCTCATGTAATCACATGGTTCCTGGAACATGATTCAGAAACATGCCAGATATTGGAGGAGCTGGTAAAACTTTTGCAGTGGGGATGATTGTGTGCATTTTAAAGGCTTGAGAATATTTGAAGTTTCTAAACTGTTGCTCAGCCTCAGTTAGGCCGAAGCACGTCACTTCAGGCAGTGCCACTCCTTGTGGGAATTGTACCAGCCACAGACTAGTTCTTCCAGTGATACAGACTTCAGTTCTAAACCCCTTTTATTAAACAATGTATGCAACTTAGTCTGGGACAAAGTCTGGCGGCAATTGCTGTACTCTGTTCAAAGGGAAAAATCCAGCTGGGAGGGCACAACAGCTCTTTGATTCCTTGAGAATAAAGGCCTGCTCCTATGACTGCCCTTAGGTTATTTCAACCCAGCAAAAATGCAACACACAGAACACTGAGGTCTGTTTTGAGATACCTCCAAACCTCCCTTTGGTTTGTCTTGCTTGGGGCCAGCTCCAGTGACTTAGACTAAGGAAGCCGTCAGCTGGTGCCATGTCTATCGTGATGGAGCACCAATCTCATTGCAGCATCCAGGTGTCATCGTATAATCATGACACAATCGTTAAAATACTCGACGGATAGTTGAGGTGTAAGGCTGTGGCACCTTTCCAAATGGAATTAGAATTTGTTTGAAACGTTACATCTAACAGTTTCCCTATGAGTTGGACCAAGCCTGTCTGCATTTTACAGCAAGGCACTGTCTTGCCCAAAGACCAAGAGGAAGCCACTGGCAGAGACAGTTATAGAAACCAGGAATCCTACCTGCTGGGCCCGTTAGAACCACTAGTCAGTACTCCTCCAGAAAGGAGAAGCTGACATCTTACTGAACTAGATCACATCCAAATGCTGCACAAGCTTGAAGGAATTCCTGAAGGCCTATGTGCTTCCCTGCATCCTGCTTTAGTTCAGTAGAGTGCTTACATGCATGCCTAAGACACGCAGGACCTAGAACCGTAGCAGAAAGAGCCCCACAGTGTGTGAAAGCAGTCATCTTCCATTAAAGGACGTAATATTATCTTCTGAACAGAGGGGACCCTGTGCAACTTCTGCCAGGTACTATAACAAACCTGTTTTACACCCTGCCCATCTGGCACTGCCTATCAACAGCTGGGTAGAACTCAAAGCCTCCTGCTTGAAAAGCCCATGCCTCTCTCAACCGAGCTGAAGCAGGTTTTTGGGTGGGCACTACTAGGACCAGGTTGAGCAATACCGATTCAATGCAGCAGAGCCTGCAGCTACACAGCCTTACGTACAGAGTCTCTGAAAATGCTCTGGCAGTAGTGACTTTTGACTGCGTGAGAAATGGTTTGGTATTTGGACTCTTTTGAGGAGCTCCTTACACCGGGGAGCAGCAAATACACCTTTACCATCTTAGATTCTCCTCTTTGCCAGATGTTGAAGGCTAAACAGGTTATTCCAGTGCTCAGTTCCA